TCATCTGCAGGGATGTAAAACTGAATGACTTGCCCTGAGTACACATAAGTCGGAAGAAATAGAAACTAATCACTATACAAAGGACCTATGGAAAGCCTTGAGGAAATTGAAACTATTCTCAATGAAATTTTATAGCATATGTCTATTAGAAATTTCTGACCTGTAGGTAATCTGGTTATTTTCCCCACAAATTTATTTATATATTTATTTATTTGGTTTGTTTGCTTTTATAAATTTATTTTAATTTTATCTTGTTGCTAATTTTAAGTACTTTTTTGTATTTGATGAATTGAATCTCAAATTGTTCATAATAACTCATTAAGGAGAAATCACTGAATTAATATATTTACAGCAACTTTCTTGAAATGTTGCCTTTTCATAGTTTCTTTTGTTTTTAGACATAAGCAGGTATTAGGACAGGGGTGGGGACCCTGCAGCCACCTGTGGCCTTCTAGGTCCTCAAGTCCATTTGACTGAATCCCCTTAATAAAAAGATTTGTTCTGTAAAACTTGGACTCAGTCAAAAGGCCACACCCAAGGACCTAGAAGGTGGCAGGTTCCCCACCCCTGGATTAGGAGCACTGGAATTCTATAGCCTGTTAAATCTTTCTCTTTGGACACAGGAATTGATTTTAGATATAGTACTGGGTAATGATAAGGTGACAACTTAATGACCTTCCTTCAAAAGCCCCCTTAAAAGTGTAGCAATGGGTTGTTTGCTGTGCTTATTAGCAAGGCTGAGGAAACTGTAGATGATAATTTTGATAATAAAATAATTTTGAATGCTGTACTACAGTTAGATAAATAGATGCATTGAACAAAGATAATCATTAGTTATGGCAATGTTTAAGATGACAATGTCTTTGAAAAAGAAAACTAAAGCATATTTTCATATTCCTTAACAGTTCTGAAGAAATGATGTTCCACGTTATTTGATTTAAAATTTTCCGTTTATGCATAGTGGCTAAAAGCTCCTTTCATCAACCATCCCATTTCCATCGAACGTTGGTCCTTTCTCTTCTTTGACTCCCTTCTTCATCCTGATATAGCTAAAATAAACCTCAGACTTCTCTGTTATCTTAGATTTTCATTCTGAGTCTTAGTGCTCCTGACATTATCCTGTAAAAGTGTCCTTGCTTTCATCTTTTCTACATATCTTTTTAAAGTCTAAATTGGTTGGTGAATTCTCTGTGTTCACATTGGTCTCTCAGATGACTCTCATTTTGATTCCTCTTCAGAATTATTTATGTCTTCTAATTTTCCTCTTTGAGATCTTCCCATCCCTTCTGAGCTAATTTCCTCTATAGAATCTACTCTCCCTGAATGTAGGGCAGATGGTATAGCCTGTGCTTGGCTGCCCCCTCTTCTGTCACACAGTGAGGCAGTGAGGTGGTGAGAAGAGCTTTGAATGTGGTAGCCAGAGACCTGGCTTTAAATCCTCACTTCCTTTTCATCCTGCCTTTGGCCCCACTTGGGCCTGTTTCCACATCTGTAAAAGGAAAGGGCTTGTATTAGATGACCTCTGAGATCCGTTTAGGCTCTAGATGTAAGACCCTGTGATTACCAAAGTCCCTTCCAGCTTGAAGTGTGTGATCCTATGACACTTTGAAGTCTGCTCTCAAAATCTAAGTTGCATATCAAGATTATGCTCAGCTTTACTCTGTCCCAACTCAGGGCCCCCATCATTTTCACCCCCAGCAACCATTTGGAAAGATTCAGAATAAAATTTCCTCTTGTCCTTCACCTCTTAAAGGAAAAAAAATTATCATTAAGCCAAGTCAGAAAGTTATTGTTTACTTTGCCTTTGGCAGAGAGAAAGAAAGCTCCAGCAGATGTCTGGATAACTGAAGTCCCTCCTCGATATTTCAGGTACACAGTTTTGTGCAGGACTTGTGATCTGTTTCCCAAACATCTCTTTACTCTTTTTATTCAGGTGGTCTATAGGATAATCTAGTGAGAAGCTCCTTGTTGTTTCTGCCTCCATCAATTTTTAACCAAATGTTTTCTTTCTACCTTTCCTCCCACTTTAGTTGCTAATTTTCTTCAAGACTCCATGTTCTTACCCCACTTTTATCTATTCAGTTTCTTCGCAGTAAGATGTACCCAAATTCTTGTCATAGGTTTCACCCCCCAACTCTGTGACACCTGGGAAGTCACACTTGGACCTTGCATTAGGACCTCTAGTTCATCTTTCTTGTTGCCTCAGCTTTGACCATCTGGGTCTAGACAAAGTAGATTCAAGGCCTTGGATCCTTTTCTTGAATTTTGTGTCCCATGAACTTCTGGTTGTCTCAGCTGCTATTCTTCTTTCATTATAGCTACTCTCTGTGGTGTCCAACAGTGGATACACATTGGCAGTTTCCTCTTCTCACAGCCTTTAAAGCCATTTTGATTAGATTTGCATATCACAAGTGTACTTGAGTACTCATATATGTGATGTATGACACGAATGGTGCTGAGCAAGGCCTTTCTGTCCCCAAAGTAACTTCTTCACTCTCTGTCACAGTGCCTGAAATCCCCAGTACTAGGCATTCAAAATGCATTTGGGTTTTGAAGGCTTTTCAGTCTTCAGGAGTTTGTACACTGAAATGAGAAAAACCCTAGAAAAGGTAACATCTCAGACCCTTGTTAGTTAAAACTTTAAGAGGGATTATTTGGTAGCTACCTGATCTCCCCATACTGGGGACAGTTGAAAGGGGTGTGGCTTCACTGGATCAGGAACAGTAAGAAAGGGCCAAAGATTAAATCATTTTTCCTCTGTCCAGCCTTGATTAGGAGAGGAGTGTAGAATTTAGGGAGGGAGATCTTGATCGATGTCTTTTCCTATTCTCTAAGGGCTATTTGAGGTAATTATCTTTCTCGAGTTCAGTGGTGGGATTTTTTTTTGCTTTTGCTTTTCTTCCATATTCCTTTGTTCTAATCCTCTCTCATCCAGACACTGCAGGCTGTAAAGTACTAGTTGTTTCCATAAAATTCATGAGCTCATAGGTCTAGTCCATCATGCATTGTGTTTCCCAGTTGTGTATCTCACTGGGTACTCAAATTGCTTTTAGGTTCATTTTGCATATTTATCCGTCTCCTCCTCTGGAGCATCTGTGCCCATCAGGAAGTTTCTGGAAGAAGAAAGTAATGATGAAACACAAAACAATTCACCAAGAACTTATGAAAATTACTGGAAAACTGATAATCACCTTAATTGACTTGATTTGTATAGGTCTACTCTATTTTAAATAAACCATATATGAAAACCCTTATTTTCAAAACAGGTCAATTAGAGTTGTTATTTACTTTACAAAAAGATTCTTGATTTTATAAGGGATTTATGGTAGGATTATTTTAAATAGTGAACTCCTTTAGTACGCTTCTTAGAATTCTTTTTGTATGTCATTTTAAAAAAAATTTATTTTGATTTTTCAAGTCACTTCCATAAGCTTTTGAGTTTTAAATTTTTCTCCCCCTCCCTCCCCAAGACAGCGCGCAGTCTGATATAGGCTATACATATATGTTCCTATTAAACGTATTTTTACGTTAGTGATGTTGTAAGTAAGAATTAGAACCAATAGGAGGAACCATCAGAAAGAGGAAACACAATACAACAGAAGAAAAAAATAGAAAATATCATGCTTTGATCTATATTCATACTCCATAGTTCTTTCTTTGGATATGGATAGCGTTTTCCATCATGAGGCCTTTGGAAGTGTCTTAGATCCTTGCATTGCTGAGAAGGGTTAAGTCTGTCAGTATTAGTCATCGCACAACGTGGCTGTTACCGTGTACAACGTTCTCCTGGTTCTGCTCACTTCACTCCGCATCTGTATGTCATTTTAAAATATAAGTTGCACCAATATCAGGGCAATACTAGGTGTCTGGCGCATAATCCAAGCACTGTCACAGTGATAGCTGGTCTTGGAAACATTCTTATCATATTGGCCTACATTGCAGGCATCCTCTGATCAGGAAGCTGAATCAGTTGAAGGAGAGTCAGCCTGACCTGGCCCAGCTACTGATTGATCAGGTGCGTATGAGAATGTCTTTCTGGTGAAGAATGGTCTTCAGCACTTACGGCTCCTGCCTCCAAGAAACACCTAAAAGGAAAGCTGATTATGTTGGAAGAGTTATGGCTGCTGCTGAGACTCTGTATTTTCCCCTTAAGTCCCATTTTGAGAAAGAAGATCCACTCATATCTTTCATCTATAGAAGAAAGTCTTTCCTGATGTTTTTGTTTGTATTTACTGCCATGCATTAGAATAGAAATGAGAGATATGCCCTGCTGGTTCAGAAAAGCCTTGCCCACTTTTGCTACATCTGAACCAGAGAAGGCTGGGGATTCCCAGCTCAGTGTGGCTTTCTCTTTCTTTTTTTCTGCTACACATTGATGTGTATTTCTTCTCTTTCCCTTTGCTTTGCAGATATATGAGAATGCCATGATAGCAGCAGGACTGAATGATGACCCTAGACCAATGGTGGGCCGTTTGAATGAACTTCTCACCAAAGCTCTTGAAAAACACTGACTGCAGCTGTATTCAAAGGACAGAAATCTCTCTGGCAAATCCTAACAGTCCTTTAAGGGATTGAATTCATTTTGAATTTACGGGGCATCAGAGGATGTGCTCTTACTGTAGAGAGAGTGAAGAATGGAAATCTGTACAATTCATAGTCCTTCTGATCTTTTGTAGCAAAAAGTAACAAGAAATCTTCCTATTACACAAAAGCAAACCTTGAACTGTGAAGGACTGGCTTATACAAAGGGAAATATCAGAGATATAAACCTCTTTTGTCTTATTCAAGGAAATTAAAATGTTTTTGAAAACCTCTCTTCTTGTTCTTCAGAAGAATAAGAGATTGAAATGATTTTCTTTTGCTTTGCCCAGAATTAACTTTGATACACATATGTGCTAATACTCATTTGGTACTTACCTTTATAGATACATAGATACAGATACTGGCAGCTAGGTGGTGCAGTGGATAGAGGGTAGCCTGGAGTCAGGAAGACTTATCTTCCTAAGTTCAAATCTGGCCTCAGGCATTTAACTAGCTGTGTGACCCTAGGCAAGTCTTTTAACCCTTTTTGCCTCAGTCGCCTCATCGGTAAAACGACCTAGGGAAGGAAATGGCAACCCACTCCAGTATCTCTGCCGAGAAAACCCCAAATGAGGTTGTGAAGAGTTGGACATGACTGAAACAACCGAATGACAAGAAGGTGCAGATACATGAGGATAGTATAACAATAGTAATGTCTTTATGCTAAAGTCATATTTGTGATCTGCCAGCAGTAGAAAATAATGTGGTGGAACACATCTGTAGTTCCTGCTCCTGGGGAGACTGAGGCTAGTGGATCACTTGAGCTCAGGGGTTCTTAGCTAAAGTAGGCTAAAGCTGATTGAGGTCTGGTACCAAGACGGTGAGCCCCTAAAAATGGCAGGTGGGGGCAGGGCACCAGGGAAAGACCAGCTCAGGTCAGAAGCAGAGTAGGTCAAAACTCTGACACCACATAGTAGTGGGATCATACCCATGAGTGGCCACCGTACTTCAGTCAATCCGGGGTTCCCCCTCATCTCCCCCTTCCCCCCAATAAAAAAGAGAAAGAAAATGATTTGAGGTTTTCTGGAAGTGGGAATAGAATTTATTTTGGGGCATCCTGTACTCTCATCCAGACCCCCTTCTGACTCATAGTGTATTTGCAAGATGTCTTTCAGTGAGTCTGTAGTCATGGAGTCCAATAAAGCCAATTACCTATATATTAATGAATTTGTGATATATACATATATATGTACATGTTTATGTACACATTTATGTGTGTATGTGTATACATATATATATACACACACACACACACACACACACACATATACACACAAACGTAAGTATAACTATGGTTATATGTTTTTGCTCATCTGAATGTTTGTCTTTTTTTAAAACCTCCTTAGTCCAGTACTAATGTTTCTCTGAGTTTGTGAGACCTCTTCTGTCTCTGCCTCTGGGGCACAAAAAGCCAACACTGTTACAAGTTGTAGATATGAATATCTCCAGAGTGTATACAAACCTTGCCACAGTAAAAAACCAGTTTTCTCAGGAAGTTTTTGAGGGCATGAAAAGGTTTAGTCTTGTTTCTTCCTTAGTATAATCTTTCATTAACTCCTCTGTTAGGTGGAGTCAGGCTTTGCCCGCCCAGGTCATAGCCAGAGCTATAACTAGGAGTCCTTTTTCTGGAAAAAGTTCATTTGAATTGGGAGGCAGTTCATACCCCAGGAGTCTGGCCTGCAACCCCACATGGGTTAAGAGGGAGAAAATTGGGATGCTGATGGGGTTGGCCTGTGTTGTGTCTCAGTGTGCTGTGCCTGCCCCGTGAAGACACTAAGGCAAAGCACTGAGGGTTGTTTTGGGGAGAAAATTTGTGCACTCACAGGACAATCTCTCCTCACTCCCCCCCCCACCCTGTTAACCCCCAGGGCAAAATCCTAGTGAGATCCTGTGCTGGTTAAAGCTATAATCACAAATGAGCTTCAAACAAGGTAAAAATAAAGGTGAAGAAAGAGACTAGAAAACGCCTTTGTTAAAAGCTGCAAAAAATAAAAAAATTTACTATTTCTGATCTAAAAGCTTTATTAAATGATTCTGTAATCACTTACAGTTACATTGCATTGAGACTTATGCACAAGTACATATGAATTGACAGATAACCAAAATGTGATTTTCAAAATCAGGACCGTGAAAGTCATTTATGGAGATGAGTAGAGCAGACACATTGTCTTGAACACTTGGAATGTCAACAAATATTAGTAGAATCTACTATGTACCTGCAGTCTAAGCCACTTTAATATGTGCTAAAGAATAGTAAATAATGATGAACAAAAAAAGCATTTATTAAGCACTTATTATATGTAAAGCACTATTCTAAGTACTGATAAGCAAAGACCTTCTCTGCCCTTACAGAGCTTATGTTCTAATGGGGGAGACAACGACAAAGAGGAGAGGTAGCTAGGATCAGGTTCTTTAACGTTGATGGGTGAGTAGGGCCATAGGTTTCTTCTAGGAACAATGACTGTTGACTTTGATCAAAGGCTTTCTTGCATTCTGTTTAAGGTCTTTTTAATTCCTGCGTTTTAATTCTGTAACAATTCAGAAATGGGTGTTTTCAGGATCCTGACTCTGGGATAAGGCATCAGTTTTAAAATCTTATCAACTTAATTGTTTCTTTCAGGCCCATGAAGGTAGTAGCTATTGTTTTGGGTTTTTTTAATAAGTCAGAGAGGATGCTATTATCTTATATCTTCAGCAAATCCTATAACCAGTTTATCCAAATCTAATGGTATAATACTTTGTATGTTGACATTTGGGAGCCCATGTGAGGGGGAAGAAGGCAAATAAAGGCATCAGTGCCTTTGGCCAGAAGTTAGGGAAGTAGATGAAGTAAGGAAGTTAGATGGACTTCATGGAGATTCAGGCTGTCTTCAGTGTAACCTCCACAGGATAATGATCACTGATGGCTAGAGCCTAAACAAAGGAAAAACCATGTGGTAATTAGGGCCATGAAACACTGAGAGGAACAATATTTTTGCTGGGTTTTTTTTTTTGGATAATTAATTGATTTTAGTTTTCAACATTCACTTCCATAAGATTTTGAGTTTTAAATTTTCTCCCCCTTCCACTTATTTCCCCCACGTACCCAAGACGGTGTACAGTCAGATATAGGCTCTACATATACATTCACATTAAGCATATTTTCCTATCACTCATGATGTAAAGAACAATTAGGACTGATGGGAAGAACTGTGAGAATGAAGCAATAAAACAAAACAATAAAGAAAAATATGGAGCATTCAGACTCCATATTTCTCTGGGTATGGATAGCAATTTCCATCATGAGTCTTTTGGAGTTGTCTTAGATTCTTGCATTGTTGAGAAGAGCCAAGTCTATCAGTCAGTCATCCCATAATATGGCTGTTACTGTGCACAATATTCTCCTGATTCTGCTTACTTCACTCAGCATCAGTTCGTGTAAGTCTTTCTGGGTTTTTTTGAAGTCTGACTGCTCATCATTTCTTATAGCACAATAGTATTCCATTACATTCACATACCACAACTTATTCAGCCATTCCCCAAATGATGGGCATTCCCTCAATTTCCAATTCTTTGCCACCACAAAAAGAGCTGCTCTAAATGTTTTCGTACATGTAGGTCCTTTTCCCATTTTTATGATCTCTTTGGGATACAGACCTAGCAGTGGTATTTCTGGGTCAAAAGGTATGCACTATTTTATAGCCCTTTGGGCATGGTTCAAAATGGCTCTCCAAAATGGTTGGATCATTTCACAACTCCACCAACAATGTATTAGTGTTCCAATTTTCCCACCTCTCATTGTCCTGTTTTATCATGTTAGCCAATCTGATAGGTGTGATGTGGTACCTCAGAGTCATTTTGATTTGCATTTCTCTAATCAATAGAGATTTGGAACATTTTTTCATATGACTATATAGTTTTCGTTTCTTACTCTGAAAACCCTTTTCATACCCTTTGACCATTTATCAATTGGGGAATGACTTGTATTCTTATGACTTTGACTCAGTTCTCTATATCTTTTAGAAATGAGACCTTTATCAGAAACACTGGTTATAAAAATTTCCATTTTTCTGCCTCCCTCCTAATCTTGGATGCATTGGCTTTATTTGTGCAAAAACTTTTCAATTTAATGTAATCAAAATTATCTGTTTTGCATTTCATAATGTTCTCTATCTCTTGTTTGGTCATAAATTCTTACCTTTTCCATAGATCCTTGCTCTTCTAGTTTGCTTATAGTATCAGTCTTCATATCTAAAGCCTGTACCCATTTTGACTTGGTATAAGGTGTTAGATGTTGGTTTATGCCCAGTTTCTGCCATACATTTTTCCAGTTTTCCCAGCAGTTTTTGCTAAATAGTGATTTCTTATCCCAGAAGCTGGAATCTTTGGATTTATCAAATAGTAGATTAGTATAGTCATTGACTGTCGTGTCTTGCATACCTAACCTATTCCACTGATCTACCACTCTATTTCTTAGCCAGTATCAAGTAATTTTAATGATTGCTGCTTTGTAATTAATGTAAGATCTGGTGTAGCTAGCCCACCTTCCCTTGTATTTCTTTTCATTAGTTCCCTTGATATTCTGGACTTTTTGTTTTTCCAGACGAATTTTGTTACTGTTTTTCCTAGCACTATAAAATAATTTTTTGGTAGTTTGATTGTTATGGCATTGAGTAAGCAAATTAATTTAGGTAGAATTTTCATTTTTATTAGCTTGGCCTACATGAGCAGCTGATATTTTTCTAATTGTTTAAATCTGACTTTATTTGTATGAAAAGTGTTTTGTAATTGTGTTCATATAGTTCCTGGGTTTGTTTTGGCAGGTAGACTTAGAAATATTTTATAATGTCTACAGTAACTGTAAATGGAATTTCTCTTTCTATCTCTTCCTGCTGGACTTTGTTAGTAAAATATAGAAAAGCCAATGATTTGTGTGGGTTTATTTTTATCCTGCAACTTTGCTAAATTTGTTTATTGTTTCAAGTAATTTTTTACTTGATTCTTTAGGATTCTCTAAATATACCATATATCATCTGCAAAGAGTGATAGCTTTGTTTCTTCTTTGCCTATTCTAATTCCTTCAATTTCTTTTTTCTTTAATTGCTACAGCTAACATTTCTAGCATGATATTGAATGACAGTGGTGATAATGGACATTCTTGTTTCACCCTCGATCTTAACTGGAAATGCTTCTAGCTTATCCCCATCACATATAATACTTGCTGATGGCTTTTGATAGATGCTGTCTATCATTTTAAGGAAGACTCCATTTAATCCTATGCTCTCTAGTGTTTTTAATAGGAATGGGTGTTGTATTTTTCAAATGCTTTTTCTGCATCTATTGAGATAATCATATGATTTCTGTTAGTTTTGTTGTTGATATGGTCAGTTATGCTGATAGTTTCCCTGATTTTGAACCAGCCCTTCATTCCTGGTATAAATCCTACCTGGTCATAGTGTATTATCTTAGAGATAAGGTGTTGTAATCTCTTTGCTAATATTTCATTTAAAATGTTTGCATCTATATTCATTAGGGAAATTGGTCTATAATTTTCTTTCTCTGTTTTGGCTCTTCCTGGTTTAATATCAGCACCATATTTTTGGTGGGACTTCTTCTTCACCTATTTTCCCCAAATAGTTTATATAGTATTGGAATTAGTTGTTCTTTAAATATTTGATAGAATTCTCTTGTAAATCCATCTGGCCCTGGAGATTTTTTCCTAGGGAGTTCATTGATAGCTTGTTTAATTTCTTTTTCTGAAATGCGGTTGTTTATTTCCTCTTCCATTAATTTGAACAATTTATATTTTTGTAAATATCTATTTCACTAAGATTGTCAAATTTATTAGCATGCACTTGGGCAAAATAGCTCCTAATTATTGTTTTGATTTCCTCTTCATTGGTGGTAAATTCACCCTTTTCATTTTTGAGGCTGGTAGTCTGGTTTTCTTCTTTCTTTTTTTAAATCAAATTAACCAAAGGTTTATCTATTTTATTGTTGTTGTTTTTTCCCCACAAAATCAGCTCTTAGTTTTATTTCTTAGTTCAATAGTTTTCTTATTTTCAATTTTATCAATCTCTCCTTTGGTTTTCAGAATTTCTCATCTGGTGTTTAATTGGAGATTTTCAATTTATTTTTCTTAGGAACATGTTGTTAACAAACAAGACAGTGTGCTTAGTTTTGGAGTGAGGCTGTATGGAGAGGAAGATGTTACAGATGAGAGTTTTGTCCTCAAGAAACTTAGAATTTTTTTAGGGAAATGAAGCCTAAACCTGGGAAAGATAACTAACAGTATATACTATCCACAGTAGTGTGAATATGAGGATCAAATGAACTATAACACTTATGTGTACAGAGAGAAGAGAGTATTCTAGGCATGACTCAATAGGATCAAAAGTGGGAAAGTGGAGGCAGAGCCAAGATGGTAGAGTATAGGCAGGGATTTGCCTGAGTTCTCAAACCCCTCAAAATACCTTTAAATAATGACTCAATTCTAGAGCAGCAGAACCCACAAAAAGACGGAATGAAAAAGTTTTCCAGCTCAAGACAACAGCAGGGCCCCAGCAAACCAGGAGGGGGCCTAAGGGCGACTGAATCAGTGGCAGCAGTGGTGGTTTCCAGACTTCTCAGCCCACAGACACCAAAGACAACTTAGAAGGTCGGCTGGAAAGGTCTGTTGCACCAGGTTGAGAGAGGAGTACAAGCTGTGTCAGCACAGACCAGGCCCAGCAAACCAGGAGCAGGCCTTGGAGCCACTGAATCAGCAATGGCATCAGTTGCTTCCAGAGTTTTCAGCCCACAGATGGTAAGGGGGTCAAACAACTGGGGTCTCTTTGCTAACATTGAGGAAGGACTGTATGTACCCCATACTCAAGTCTGGATCACAGTCCTAGGTGGCAGTCCTAGGACAAGGAGGACCACACCAGAGCTTGTGGTCACAGTTCCAAGGCAGAAAAGAGTACTTGCAGTCACTCACAGACAAGAACACAGGCCAGGAGAAGAGTAAACATCTCTCCTTAGATCATACCACCTTGGAACAACTCAAAATTTACAGGTCCCTGGAAGCATCTCTGAAAACAGCTGCACAAAAACCCTGAAGCTTGAGGCAGTGCACCCTCCAACCTGGAAACAAAGCCCTACCTTAACAGAGACTTAAAAGTTAAGTAATAGATTGGGAATATGAGCAAGCAACAGAAAAAAATCCTGACCATAGAAAGTTACTGTGGTAACAAGGAAGATCAAAACACACAGTCAGAAGAAGATAACAAAGTCAAAGCCTCCCAAAAAACCCCCCAAAATGTGAATTTGTCTCAGGCCATGGAAGAGCTCAAAAAATGTTTTGAAAATCAAGCAAGAGAAGTAGAGGAAAAATTGGGAAGAGAAATGAAAGTGATTCAAGAAAATCATGAAAAATGAGTCAACAGCTTGGTAAAGGAAACATAAAAAAACACTAAAGAAAATAACACCTTAAAAAACAGACTAGGCCAAATGGTAAAAGAGGTCCAAAAAGCCAATAAGGAAAAGAATGCCTTAAAAAGCAGAATTGGCCAAATGGAAAAGGAGGTCCAAAAGCTCACTGAAGAAAATAATTCCTTAAAAATTAAAATGAAGCAAATGGAACTAATGACTCTATGAGAAATCAAGAAACAAAACCAAAAGAATGGAAAGATAGAAAACTGTGAAATATCTCACTGGAAAAACAACTGACCTGGAAAACAGATCCAGAAGAGAGAATTTAAAAATTATTGAACTACCTGAAAGCCATGATCAAAAAAAGACCCTAGACATCATCTTTCAAGAAATTATCAATGAAAACTGCCCTGATATTCTCAAAGCAGAGGGTAAAATAGAAGTTGAAAGAATCCACTGATCACCTCCTGAAAGAGATTCTAAAATGAAAACTGTCATGAATATTATAGCCAAATTTCAGAGTTGCCAGTTCAAGGAGAAAATATTATAAATAGCCAGAAAGAAGCAAAGTGTTGTGGAGCCACAGTCAGGATAACAAAAGAAAGCAGCTTCTACATTAAAGGATTGAAGAGCTTGGAATGTGATATTCCAGAGGACAAAGGAGCTAGGATTTAAATCAAGACCAAAACTGAGGAAGAAATGGATATTCAATGAAATAGAGGACTTTCAAGCATTCTTGATGAAAAAACTAGAGCTGAATAGAAAATGTGATGTTCAAATACAAGACTCAGAAGCATAAAAAGGTAAACAGGAAAGGGAAATCATAAGGGACTTAATAAGGTTAAACTGCTTACATTCCTACATGGGAAGATGATATTTGTAACTCATAAGAGCTCTCATTATTAGGGCAGATAAAATGAGCATATATAGATAGAAGGCACAGGTGTAAGTTGAATGTGAAGGGATGATATCTAAAAAAAAGTAAAATTAAGGGGAGAGGAATGTACTGGGAGAAGTTGAAAGGGATAAATGATCTCACATAAAAGGCAAGAAAAAGCTTTTACAAGAGAGGGGAAGTGAGTGAACCTTACTCATCAGAATTGGCTCAAAGAGGGAATAGCATACACCTGCAATTGGGTATAGAAATCTGTCTTATCCTACAGGAAAATGTGAGGGGAAGGGGATCAGAGAAGGGGGGGTGAGATAGAAGGGAAGGATGATTGGGGGAGGGAAGGGGTCAGAAGCAAACAGTTTGGAAGAGGGAGGGACAGGGTGAAAGGAGAGAGAATAGAATAAATGGGGGGGATCAGATGGAGAGAAATACAGTTAGCAATAGTAACTGAAAAAAATTTTGAAGTAAGTGTTTGCTGATAAAGGCCTCATTTCTCAAACATATACAGAACCAAGTCAAATTTATAAAATTAAGAGCCATTCCCCAGATGATAAATGATCTAAATACATGAACAGTTTTCAGATGAATTAACCAAAGCTATCTATAGCCCTATGAAAAAATGCTCTCACTATTGATTAGAGAAATGCAAATTAAAATAATTCTGTGGTACTATCTCATACCTATTAGATTGGCTAATAGGACAGAAAAGGAAAATGACAAATGGTGGAGGGGATGTGGGAAAAAAGACATTAATAGACTGTTAGTGGAGTTGTGAACTGATTTAACTTTTCTGTAGAGCAATTTGGAATTGTACCCAAAAGGCTATAAAAACCATGCATACTCTTTGATCTAGCAATACCACTACTTGTTCTATATCCCAAAAGAGATAAAAAACAAAGAGGTCAAGGACCTACATGTATAAAAATATTTATAGCAGCTCTTTTCTCATGGCAAAGAAGTGGAAATTGAGGGGATGCCCATCAATTGGGGAATGGCTGAACAAGTTGTGGTATGTGATTCTGATAGAATACTGTTGTGCTATGAGAAATGATGAGTGGGATACTCTCCGAAAAGTATGGAGAGACTTGCACAAACTGTTGCAAAGTGAAATGTACTGTGTACAAAGTAACAGTAATATTGTAAGATGATCCACTGTGAATGACTTAGTCTGAAGGATTTATGATGGAAAATCCCCAGAGAAAGAACTGATGGTATCTGAATACAGATTGAACATACTTTTTTATTTTCTTTATTTTTCTTGAGGGTTTTTCTTTTGGTCTATGTTTTCTTTCACAACATAACTATTATGGAAATGTTTTGCATGACTACACATGTGTAACATATTGAATTGTTTGCCTTCTCAATGGAGGGGCGGAAGGGAGGGAGGGAGAGAATCTAGAACTCAAAGTTTTAAAAACATGTTAAAAATTATTTTTACATGTAACTGGGGAAAAATAAAATACCAAATGAAAAAAATTTTTTTAAGTGGCGAAGTGTAGTTTGGGGACTTAAGATGACTTAGACAAGGGTAGAAGGCATACATGGGGATGATAGGGGATATGATGTAGTGGACCATGAAATATCAGGATGAGAAGTCTGGACCTGATCCTGTAGTAGGAGGTTGCTATCAACGTTTTCTGAGGTGGAATGCAGAGTAACATCAAATTGTTATTTGAGGGAAATTACCATGGCATAATGTGAAAGGATTCTTTTGGAGGGAGGAGATGAGTACTGTAATCTATGTATGAGAAGGTAGGGACTGGGACTAGGGTGGTGACAATAGGAAAAGTAAAGAAAGGAACAGATGTGGAAAACATTTGGACATATTGATAGGAATTGATTATAAAGAGATGAAAGATTACAAATCTGTATGGATGACAATCCACAAAGGTAACACCAGAGATCAGGATTTTAGTTCTAGAAGGGATCTTAAGATCACCTAGTCCAGGGGGCAGCTAGGTGGTGCAATGGATAGAGCACTGGCCCTGGATTCAGGAGGACCTGAGTTCAAATCCGGCCTCAGATACATAGTACTTACTAGCTGTGTGACCCTGGGCAAGTCACTTAACCCCCATTGCCTAGCCAAAAAAAAAAAAAAAAGAAAGATGACCTAGTCCATTTGACAGCTGAGAAAAGAGACCAATTTGTCGAAGGTTACATGGGTAACAGGGCTGCTGCTTAAGCCCAGGCTTCAGACTCCACATCCAGTGTATACCACTGTGCTTATTTCAAGCCTGGGTGACTGGGAAAGAAGAGTAGATCAGATTTCCTTGGAAGAGATTGTAGAAAAAAGAGCCTGATCCTTGGGAATATCATATTTGGGGGGTTGAAGAGCTGGAGAAGAAGGAACAATGAAGAGAAAGAAAAGGCCCCTCCTCTCTCCATTGGGCCACTAGAGCTGGACATTCCTGAGTCCTTTGGTACAATATCCCATGCTCCTAATGGAGACTTTCATCTCAATGGAAGACGCAGGTGTGAACACAAGCACTAGAGCCTGTCTCCGTTCCTAAGCAGAAGTAAGAAGCTGCAAAAGTGGGAGCTGTGACTGGCCTTAGCCTTAGTTGATCAGCAGTTGAGAGATGTGTTTCACTTTTGATCAATACCAGTCTTAGAGGAAGGGCTTTCTAGTATATCCGTAAGATAAGTTTATCTTGAGCCAGATACTACAGGCTGAAACTGTATCCAAACTCTGCTAAAAAGGAGTGACTCCTGTTCAATTAAACTTCAAAACAAGATAAAAACTGAATGAGAAAAACTTACCATTTCATGACTCAAGTTGTATGCTGCCTCGAAATCAAATGTGGTGGCTGATTCAGGCACAATGGCATTTTGTAGCTTAGTTCCAGAGGCCACAATCCTGTAACATACACCAAGGTACAAAGATCAAACCTCCCCTTGAATTTCAGGATCAACATACCCGGAGAATGCATTGCCACCCTTGCCTCAATCTTACTGAGAGGAAATGGGCCTGCAAGGCGAAGTGTCAATATAGTGGTATGACGGGCACACATCCTGTAAAATCCAGGACCAGCTTCCAATTATACCCAGTGTGGACCAGGTCCTTGGACCTGTACCGGAGGGCCAGTGGACCAGTACTGGAGCACTGGACTGGGACCAAGGCTGGTTTCCATAACTTCAGGGGAATGGAGAAAAGTTGGAAAGGGCTGAAATGGGAACTACAAAGTCAGAAAACAGTGTATACGATAGGTAGTCTCAGTTGAAGATCAAGCTGAGAAAGCAGCTTTCAGGATCCTGGAACCCCAGATCTGCTGAAAACAAGGGATAAAGTTTAGCACCGGAGAGTCAACCAGAGGCAAAGTGTTAACCTTTCCCTGACAGGTCAGCATCTTCATATCAGAATCCTTGAATTGCTACTAGTCCAGAGAAGGTACCTAGATTGGCCACTGTCCTCGTTTCTTCTTCTCCTTCATTTGTCCAGCTAGGATTCGTTTGAGTTAGATACCACTTAGAGGCTGAATTCTTAGGATTACAGGAGCTGGTCAGATAAGGAAGGAGAAGGCAGTTGAAGAATTTGCCACCCTGAAAACTCTTTCTTGTAAAGGAGTTTTTAAGAGGACTCTGAGCTTGTCACACCTCTACCTCCTGACACTTTGTGTAGAATGTTAGATAAAGCTCTGCAGCTTTCCATGCTTTGTAATGCTGGACCTGGGGTAGGAAAGGAAGCAGTCTTGCTGCCTCAGAGGGCAGTGGTGAAATGGAGTGACTCAAGAAAGCTTGAAAATCAAAACACTAGATTCGTTCTGATCAATGATCAGGTTGTTTGTTGGTTTGGTTTTTAAGCCTCAGCTAGAAATGAACTGGAAGAGAACTTAGAGATTGTCTTGTTCAGCATGTTTCACTCAAAGTCACAATTCAGGGCCATCTAAAAATGTACTTGCACACCTTTTATCCCCCACTACAGCTTTTCTTATATGTCACATGCTTTTTTTGCATACGGTATTATGCATGTTCCAAGAAGATGGGACTTATTTGAAAGGCAGGAAGATAAGGAACAAAGGTTGTGGTTTATCCAAGTTCTCATGACCCATAATTTGTGAAGTTGGAATTAGGTGCTCTCTCTACTTGCAGCCTTCCTTTATTTCGAGCATCTAACATTTGAGGCAGAGGGGACTTTAGAGATCACATAATCTGACCACTTCATTTGACAAGTGAGGCAAACGATGAGAGGGAAGTTGATCTGCTGAAGAATACATAGTAGTTGGTGGCAAAGTGAGGGTTACAATGTAGGGGAGTTAAGTGCATGTAGTATCTGTCACTTGGCCAGTGCTCATTACCAATGCATTCCTGTCATCGGCATGAATGCCCAGCTGATCTCAAACACAGCCGAGCAAGCGGCCCGCGGACCAACTTTACCTGTCATAAGCACAGTCAGTAGATGTCACAGTGGTGTCTGCAGTGTCAGGAATTAGCCACTGGAATGCTGGGTCAGTGCGCAGACGGATAGATGACCATTGGGAAGCGGTGACATAGGAGCAGTCAGCATTGAAGTCTCCCATGAACAGAATGTCCTGTCAAGCACAGTCCCACTGTTAGCCAGGAGGGTTTCTCAGGGTACTAAGTGGGATAGATATAGGGACCAACGCTGGATCTGTAACTCCCAAGTAAGGAAACTCCCTCCACCAGTACAGAGTATTACCTTCTCTACAATTTATAATCTTACAGAGTTGCCTAGGGCACTGGCAATTTTAGGGACTTGCTCAGAGTGGCATAGTGGAGAGCTGTCCTCCAAGCAAGGGAAATCTGGGTTCAGATCCTCTCAATTGGGATAATAAAAAAAAAATGGGAGAGGACACCAACCCCTCCTCCCCTCCTCAAATCCCTTGCGTGCCCTAGGAAAAGTGAGAGGTGTGCGAGATCTGTGTTTGGATCCTCTAACTCATACCTCTGTGTCCCATTTTTCGAGGACATCTAAGTAGACATCGTAGAGCGCATCTATTTCAGCAACAGCATCATTCGGGGCTGCGTGCAGGGGTACAATGACGAACTCTTCCACCTCTGAGGAAGCAGCAGCAGCAGCGATGGTCAGTGCTTGTCTCTGTGTTCTAGTGGCCCAGTCCCTCTTTCCATGTTTGCCCGCTCCCTGTCCTCTTTCCCCACTACCCCTGCCCTTTCCCAGTCTAGGGTAACAGCATGCTGAGCCCTATCCTACTGAGAGGGTAGAAGTGTAGGTAAGGGGTAAAGGGAGAGATGTGATGGGGGAAAGCCCTGAAAACAAGATGCTTTCATCAGGTTGTGGGAGGATCCAGGAATAGTCTAGAGGGAGTTGGCTTTTGGGACGCTAGCTAAGTCTTTTTCCTTTGAATGCTTCTTGCCTGTAATTGGGGAGGAGAATTTGACAATGGCAGGCTCCCGGCTGAAGGTGTCATTTCCACAGGATTCACAGCCATCGTCGTAATAATAGCTGTCTAGGGCGGACACTTTGTCAGGTCTGCAGGAGAAGAATTCAGGCAGAGAATGGGTTGAGGGGAATGGTGTATGTTCTCTTCCCTATCTGGCATATAGCCTCCAGGGGTGGAGGTCGTTGGGGAAAGGATGAAGGAAAGGAGAAAATGGTTAAATAACTGAATTTCTTAGATTATGCATGGTCTCTTACTCCTGACTGCCAAAATCAGATATCAGCCTTTATCCCTTCTCTAACTCCTACTTTCTGAAGTGGTTCTCCTATAGAACTAAGACTGTTGATCAGGGATGCTCATATAAGGATATAGAAGCCTACAAACCGTTATTGGTTTAATCCTGGCCTGGGAGGGTTAGGCCATTAATGATGTCTGCAGCTTACCCTGCTCACTTTCCCATCCTGCCTTTGGATTGTAGGTTCAGGTCTCAGTAACCCTGCATCTCCTGGTCTCTAGCCCTGCTGATGACATAAGAGAAGTTAACTCTGTATCCTCTATTTCTGACTCTGGTATGTCCTTGATTGGATTCTTTATTGTTCTTAGTTTTGGTTCCTGTCTTCATGTGAAACTGACCTGCCAGCTTCTCCCAGCTTCTGCTGACAGTGATGCTGAAACCCTAATTAGGTTTTGGTACATCAACAGAAGCCTGGGTGGGGGATGGGGAGAGGGTAGCAGGGTCCCTTTCATCCAGTTTCTGCTTATAGTTAGAATCCCACTTGACACCACTACCCTTCCACCCTTAGAGGGGTAAATGCTTATGATTAAAGATCTCTTTATTTTTCTTTCCAAGAGAAGCCATCTTTGTTTCCTCTCCGGGTTTGGGGGCGTTACCTGAATACAAAGAGATAGCGTTCTTTGTAAGTGTTCCGCCCTAGAGGCTCACTGACCACATAATGATAGGTATTTGGTGAGTCTCTGAAAAGAAATGAAAAATTAAGCATATTATTCCTGTAACTTGAGGGATCTAATTGAAGATGGGGCCAATGATGCCCCATCTCACTTAATTATACCTTCTACTCCACATTTTCTTTCTAGATGTTTACCTGGTGCTGGAGAGTGTGGTGGTCACTATATCTGGGATTCATGGAAAAAAAAGGCTTGTTCTAACCCTAGATATCCTTGGGCTGATCCTGAAAGTTTATGTTTTCACTATAGGCCTGTCTCAACCCCGCCTCATCATACCCCTTCCCAATCTCATCGTGGTCTAGGTTTCAAAACCAGCATCTCTCCCTGGCAGCTCTCCTCTTCCACATCCTGGGATGACTAGTCATCATCTTCTTTCTGTACATGGCAGCCCAGCTCAGCAACCTACCCATTGAGTTTATCCATCAGTTTCCCCACAGCTGTCAGATGGCTGTCTCTCACCTCCTGGACGAGGGCAATATCATACTGATTCAGGATCTGCAAGTGGAGAAAGATCCAATACAGTGAAAAGTGAATTTCTGAATAAGGAGAAAAAAAGCTGGTATACTTCTCCCGTGTACTGCAGGTGGCCTCCCCAAATCTCATCATCTCCACGGCTTTCCTCCCATTCATACCCACAGTATTCTTTCTCAGGCCTTCTTATGCTTCCCAGATTCCCCGCAATGACACCTGAAGGGCTCCCTGGAGTCAGATTTTTACTTCTTAAGACTGCAAGCAGACCTCTGTCTGTTAAGCACCCCTCAGTTTCAGCATGCATGCTAATGAACGTATCAAAGTCATACAAAACCATCAGTCAATTCACCCAGTAGACAGGGCTACTTCTCTATTTTTATTTCAATCCTCATGCTTCCATCTGGCAGAATGAATTCTATTGTGAAACAGTAAGTCTATTTCATGCCACTTGCTTTTTTTTTTTAGTATATTACTTTCAAAACTGTCCTGCTTGTCTGTGCTTCCTTCTGAACTTCCTGCTGTTTTCTTTTACACAATTTTAAAAATGTTTCCATGACTATCTTTTTTTGGCATCACTGTTATTAACCCTCCTTCCTAAAAAACTCCCTCTTCAGTTAATGGGGAAAGAAGGGAGTAGGGAGAACTCTTCGTGACAGGTAAATGTAATCGAGCAAAACAAACACTGTGGTCATGTCTAAAAACGGAAGTCCCTTTCTGCCCTTTGTGCTCATGTTCACTCTGTCGGGAGGTGGGTAACATCCTTCCTCAGAGATCCTCTGGAGACATGGTGGCCCTCCCATCTTGCTGCCTTGGGACACATTAGGCTCCAGGGGCCCACAGCCTCTTTGGTTGCACTGGGAGGCCACCCTATCGGGCTTTGATAGCATCCCCTTTTATTTCCCTCAGGCTTCTGACTGGCTCCTTGTGCAGTTTTTGGACAGAATAAGTTACTGTAGTTTCTCTTTAGATTTCTTTATAATTGGTCTGATGCAAACTTTGGGATTTTTTTTAGAGTTGGTATAAGGGAGCTGGATGGTCTGCCCACCCACCTCCACCTCTTCCTCCCCTCCTTCAGACAATCATCTTAGTTGGAAGTCTCAGTGCTGGTAAATGCTTAACAACTTGTTCTCAGGAGAAAAATGTATGCATGACACACTTTCAAGTTTAATATGCATTACTGACATTATCACCATCACTTAAGTCTAGACAATCAACAAAACAATGAATTAAGCCCTGATTTGTAGAATTTGACCATTTCCAAGGTGTAAATGTTCACAATGAAAATTTAGCGATTGGCTCAGAAATGGCTGTAGCACACAACCATGACTATTCCCCAAGTCTTCCTAAAATTAAGATCAGTCATGGTGAGTGTGCCTCACCTGGGCCACCCAGGACTTACCATCACAATATAGTCAGAGATAGTGTCGTTAGACATCTTGGTCTCACCAAAGGTCTTGATATTGAAAGCGGCAATTCTAAGGCACAGAGCCACTTGCAGCAGAGAAGCCAGGGAGAGGAGTGATGCTATCAGCTTCACAGTAGTCATTCTGCAACAGGAAAGGCATATCTAGGTAGGAGTCGATAATTAGTGATGTGGACTCCCAGATACCAACTTGGGGCTCAAAATACAAACTGATGAGTAGCAACAGCGCAGATGGGATATGGAGGAGGAGAAATAGATACGTCACTTTATTCTGCCACTGGATCTCATGCAGATAGGTGGCAGTCTGGAGTCAGCAGTACTAGGGTATCCACTAAGACTATTCATTCTAAAGCTCTGAGTTTGAATGCTGGCTTAAACACTTACTAGCTTTGTGATCCCAGGCAAGTCACCTTTCTGTGTCTCGGTTTCCTCATCTGTTAAGATTGGGATAATAACAGCACCAACCTCATGGCTGTTGTGAGGATTAAAGGAGTTATATTATTCATTCAATGAATACTAATCTGTGGAGAACTGCTTAGTGAGTTTTAGATCTCCTTTAGATCTCTAGCTGATTCTACAAAGGGAGATGCTATCAGTCTTAGTTGTCAGGCTCAAGAAGAGGCTTTGAGCTTTTTTTAAATTAAATTTTTTTAATGAATAGAAATTTATTTTCTCTTCCTCCTACCCTCCTCCCCCCACTCCATTGAGAAAAAGAAAAAAAAACTTGTAACATATGCTTAGTCAAGCTAAACAAATTCGCCTATTGGGTGTGTTCAAAAAACATGTGTCTCTTTCTGCACCTTGAGTCCATCACTTCTCTGTTAGTGGGTAGATAGCACGAAAAATTATTTCTCTCGGTAATCATGTCTTGGAAACTCAGAGCTCCCAGCCCCACTTCTGCTCCAAAGGACATTACTGATAATGAGATTGCATTGAATCTTCTTATCCTGGTCAAACTCCAACCCAGGTTTGAATTGATTTAATCTGCTCGGATCTGGGTGGAGACAGATTCTTCTGCCCAGATACTCCAAGACTGGGGGTGGTCTGATAGAACAGATATTAAGTGACCTAAGTCACATATGCAATACTTCATTTTAATATAGCCCACCTTCCCGTGTGTTGACCAATCAGAACTGATTGGCACCCCTTGGGAACACCTACTCTTCTAAGGGCATATAACTCTCTACCCCCCAAATTCCAAATTGAGCCAGTTCTGGACTGGCCCCCTTAGGGGGGCCCAGTTTTGGACTGAACTCCCGTTCAATGCATGTCAAGTCAGCTTGAGAGAAATTAAAACGGTGACACACACACACACATACACCCTAAATTCATTTGTCTCTTTCTTAGAACAGACTCTTTTAAAATCGGGGTTTGACAATTGTATGCTTCATCATCAGTCCTATGGAATCATGGATGATGTTTGCGTCGATCAGAGTTCTTACATTTTTCAAAATTGAGGCTTTGAACTTAACAGACCCTTAAAACCTTCCCATCAGATGGGACTCCAGCCTAGGGGCTACTTGTCTAGGAATCTGCCATTAAAGTGGGGAGGGAAGACCCTTTTCTCCTCCTCAGATTTTTTGTCTTTCCTGAGTCCAAAAGGTTCTGGTGTTTCCACTACGTAATTTCTACCAACATTCACAGGAACTCATTGTGAGGATAATCAATGACTATAAAAGAATTGATGTTCTATTTTACTACCAGATCAAGAAAGAGAACATAAAAATAGGAAAAAGGCTTTTGATGGAATGTAATGTATGGAAAGGATGTTGGATTTGGAGTCAGAATACTTGGTTCTGCTACTTACTACCTGTGTCCTCTTGGGCAAGTCCTTTCAACTTCCTGGGTCTCAGTTTCACTATCTGTAAAATGACCTGATTGCACTAGATATTTAAGATCTCTTTTGTCTAAATCGCTGATACTATATCAGCTGAAGGACCACTGCCTCCACGATAAGAACTATGTGGCTTAACCAAAACACTGTTGGACATGGAGTTAGTAGAAACCTGGGTTCAAATCCCACTTCTGAAACTAGGTTAACTGACCTTGGGAAGGTCATTTGACATCTGATCCTCTGGATTTACCTAGAATTCCTCAACTAGGTGGGGGTGGGGAGAATATGACCTTGACCTTCAACAGGAATGGGCTATTGGGAAGAAGGGAGACATCAGGGACCATTGCTTCTGGCTCTACCCAAGGGGCAGTGACTCCTGCATGTACCCCTTTCATGTCCCTTCCAAACCTCATTTTGGGGCTCAACCTCCAGCCTCCCAATCCTCACTTGGACACCCAGGGATACTCTCCTCTAAACCCTCTCTTTTACCTTAGTTAGATCCCTATTTGTCAGGGTTTGACTTAAGAATAGAAAAGGCATCTTGAGCAGTGTGGTACAGTAAAGCAGCTTCCAGGTCAAGAAATACACTTTGCTCCCATTTATAGCCTATAATCACAGCCATTCTCCTGCTCACATGCTGTACACCATCCCCCATGCTCATACCACCAACTAGAAAGCTAAGAAGGAGAATACTTGCAGATGCCTCCCTTCTCTTTCCATGAACCCTACACCATAGCCTGGTAGCTGCAATTACAATAAAGCCTGGAGGAGTCAGCTGCCCTCATTTCCAGAGATGTACCCATGGCTGAAAGTAGTATCTAAGCCCAACAGGGACTTCTTTCTGCTTAAGGTACAGATCAGAGACCTAACTCCAGTTTGTTTCTAGAAGCTTGCAACCTACCCAGAATGATAATCTTTATGCTTTAGTACAAAGCAGACAATTACAATTGAAAAGCATATTTAGGCAAATGAGTCCCAAGAAGCCTACATGAGTAGACCTCAAGCTTGTCACCCAGTAAAGCACCCTGGGAAGAGGTACTTTCTGCAGAACACTTCTGCAGGACCATGTGACACGTGAAGAGCTGTGCAGAAGATGGGAGATGGGGTGGAGGAGCAGGGCTCTTAGAGGCAGCTCGTCAGCCTTGAACGCAAATATGAGAAACTTTAGCTTTCCTAAACAGATAAATGAAGAGGGCAATTATTCACTTTACTTGAAAAGAACTTTCACCTTATGGAGCACTGATCCCTGAATTCCTTTAAGGAGGGAACTCCCCTTATACATTTAAAATACAGATTTATAAAGGTATAACATACATAGGTTTTCCTTTTGCATAAAGAACAAATGAGATACCCTATAAAGTGCTTTACAAATCCTAACGCACTATATAAAATAGCCATTACTGTTAAAGCAAGATATGATCATCAATCCAACCTCCAGAAAGCAGGTTTTTTTTTTTTAAGGCAATGTGTCTTGCTAGGGAGACAGCCCCATCTGCCTATAGGCAAGCGATCTCTAGGATGGACACAGCTTTCCTAAAAATTGTATTTAGTTTCCTGAGCAGTATGGTGCTGAAGAGGAATATTTCTGTTTTCCAAATTTCTCCTCTGTAAAATAAAGGTATTGGTCTAGAAGGTGACATTTTTTGGCTTGTCTTGACTCTTCCTGTCCATGTTAACTTTATTTTTTTTTTATTAATTTATTTATTTTTAGTTTGCAATATTCACATCCACAAGATTTTGAGTTCCAAATTTTCTCCCCATCTCGCCCCTCCCTCCCAAGATGGTGTGCATTCTGAATACTCCTTCCCCTAATCTTCCCTCCCTTCTATCACCCCTCTTCTCTTATCCCCTTCCCCTTCTATTTTCCTGTAAGGCAGGATAGATTTCTCTACCCCATTGACTGTATATCTTATTAGAAGACGATTTTTAAGGCCCTTCCTAGATTCTAACATTTCTCCTGATCATCCCAACTGACCCAGTAGAGTTAGTTCCATGGACCATATATGGACTTGAAAGAAATAAGGTCTTACCTGGGATAGATCTTCTAGGAGCACTGGCACAGGTAATCTCAAGACTTGGTGGTGGTGGTGGTGTGGCTTTTTCCCCCCTTAGTATCTACTGTCTTATATTGCTGTACTTGTCTGGATGGGGCAGAGGTGATTCAAAGACACCTTAGCCTGGCTCCTCATTTGCAGTTGTGAGAGTTCTCCTCCTGCTCAGGGGTTTTAAACAGTCAAGCAGCCGTGACCTTTCCTGGGGTGTATTTGTACATTGCGTCATCTCTGAAGATGTAGAACAATGACACTGTGTTGGTTAAGTGGGATAGCCTGCTGCTACCTTGTATTGATTCTTAGGCCTAGAAAGACTTTGAACCACTGTAAAAATAGCACTTTGTAGATAAGTGTTTACATTTGTTTTATTTTTATTTCTAAGGCTAGCCCCAAAGACACTGACATTGCCAATATTTGAGTCTGGATCAAGGGATCCAGACCAGCTGTCCATTCAGAAAAAGTCAAAGCAGAATCAGATTTTCCCCTTTTGATTTAGTCTCTCTAGTTCCCTGGACTTTTTTTTTTTTAGGAAAACTCTGTAATCCATAGTCTTGCACCTGGCAGTCCCAGACAGACCTTAGGCTGTTATGAATCTAACACTGTCAAAAATGAAAAATTGCCCATTCCATGGTCAGACAGTCCTATTGTTTCCTGGAAAGTTCTTTAGATTGAGCTTAAATCCTCTCTTTCCACTTTTAGGATGTGGTTCACCCTATTTCCTCCACCTAAAATGTCTTTCCCGTCCATTTCTGCATGTCTTATCCAACCTTCAAGGCCCAGCTCAAATGTCACCTCCTCCCTGAAGCCTTCCAGCTGGAAGTAATAATGGAGCAGCTGATCATTAAGGGCCCTTCCCGCTTCAGATCCTATGATCCTAATCTCTCCCTCCTCTAGGTCCCTATAGTGCTTTGCTCATATTGATACAACAGTACTATCCCATTCAGTCTTGCATTTATTTGTGTATGGCTTATGTACTCTAGTAGATTTAAAATTCCTTGAGGGCAGAGACCATGTCTCATTTCTCTTTTGCTAAACTGAATTCTACCCAGTTCAGCCTAGTCCTAATCTTTGACATTTTCCTTAGATTATGAAAATGATTCACTGTATATAAATAAGTGGGGTATAATAGCATATCCTACAGGTAAGCATTACCACTGACCCTTCCCCAGAGACAATTACTGAAAAAAAAGAGGGGAGGTTTTCAGTTTATCAGGTGAAGATGCAGAAATATTCTTTACTGGGGAAAGGTCAGTCAATACTCTGTGTAAAAGAGAAATTAAAGAGAAAAAAAAATGGAACCTTTTACTTTGTAGGCCACAAAAGTTTTTCCTCACTAACCTGCTTTTTCTCCAACTTACATGGCCCTATTATTTTCTTAATCTATCTACTATAAGCAGTTGGGGAAATAACCAAATGATGAGTTTGGCATGAGTAGGAATGAAAAAAAATCTGTGAAACTCTGTTGTATTTGTAGGGAGTGGTGGGAGTGAGAAAGAATGCTGAGGAAAATAGCAGAATGGACGTGGGCCAGTCTAAGCTGTAGAAGCTCGCATGCTACTGATGTTATTTTAAACTGAACCTGTTATTTCAATGGTTTGGGAACTCTCATGGACCTTCTGCTGGTTCAGATCAGCATCTCCTCTGCAAATTATAGCTTTAGAGGATGACATGGAATCCTTAGAGTTAAAAATGACATGTCCAGGGCCAGTAGAACCAATAAGTGTCAGAGGCAGGACCTGACACCTGGCTTTTTGGCCATTTCTCTATCCACTGCACCACCTTGCCTTTAATGCCTTTGAGAGAAGTCAGAAAAGGGATCAGAATAATGAATCCAGTACTTTTAGGGTTATTGCAAATGCCAGTTGGAGTTGGGCAATTATTTTTCTTCTTCTTATCTTCCTCCTCTTCCTCTTATTTTTCTTTCTCCTTTATTACATATGGTACCTTTGTCTACATGGGGAGCCATACCCTTACATGTGGGTGCTCTGTCCAAAGGAATATAATTTTTGGTTGCTTACATTTTGTAAGACATCTTGGGTTTTGGGGGTTAGATTTTTAAAATTTCTTATTTATTTATTTCATTACTTTTTTTTTTCCAAAAAGCTGGGTCAGTTAACTCTTTGTCTTGTGCAGTTTTCATTCATGATTTCTTAAAATGTAGCTCTGGAAAAACAGGCTTTGAAAAAGCCCACTATGATCCAAATGGAGCTACTGGAGTATGCCTTTAAACCCAAATCACTCTGGTTTTCATCCATTAGGCAATAATAGGTCCCAGTCCAAGCCTCTCTCATTGTTTGGTTTATGATGCCTCAAAGTGAGTTTAAATATCAATCATTTTCTGTTCTGGCCAGGAGCTTTGAGGATCTTTCCCTCCCAAGATCGAGTCTTTTATGATGGCAAACTGGGGCACCTTTGTTCTCAATTCTAACCTAGCCCTTAATCACTGAATGGATGTTGCCTTAGATAAACTGAGACCTGGGAAAGATCTTAGTTTAAAAAGGCCAAGGTCACCCACTGCATCCTGGGCCATTACTAGTGGTCTTGACTTTTATCTTGCCACTAGACTCAGATGTCCTGGAGGAACGAGTGAGGCTGATGACTTTGTACAGCTCTACCTCACTTAAATCCAATTATGGGCAAGTCAAGCCATCATATTCGTGATGTCATTCGTCCTTTTTGAGAATGAAGGACAAACAACAACCTAAAGACTTAAAAATACCTCAGGATTTAGTCCAACTTTAAGATAATTAGTTCCCTAAAGATCAACTAGGAGCAATATTTTTCTGATAAAAAGATTCTAAACTAGTATCACCAAACTGAGCCAGGGATGCAGAGGGAGCCCCTATGAGCAGTCTTGAGGAAGTGGCTTTGCCCCTCTGTAGAGGCCTCAGTTTCTTTATCTGTAAAAAGAAGGGGATGGACTAGATCAGTGGTGTCAAACTCAAACGGAAACTGAGGCCCACTAATCTGCACATAAGAATCCCTGCAATCTGCATACTGACTTAGTTTTAAAATATTGTGTTATCTCTGTTTCATTGTCTTTTTATTTGTTTTGTTAAACATTTTCCAATTACATTCTAACCTGATTAGGGCCACAGTTGGGGGATTGGACTGTCTGGGTTCTACAGGCTGGGATACCTCTGGATCAGAGCATCTCTAAAGCCTGTGACTTTTAACTTTTCTTTCCCTGAATAGTTTGGCCCTTAGCATCCCGTGTCTCCTGCCCACATATTTGTTTCCAGCTTCAACTCCTTCTTTTCTCTGTGGACTACTCTTACTTCCCCTTTTCCTGCTTTATGTTTCTAGGAGGCCAGCTTAAAATGTGGAAAGGAGCAGAGGGGCTTGGATTGGACCCAAAAGTCAGCAGATCAAGTGGAGATCTGGTGAGAAGAACCCTGGGGAAGGTCAGTGCCAACAGACCTTGGTTTAACTTGATTAAGGAGGGAGGAAGCTGGACAAGGCCAGGTGACATCAGCAGTGAGTGACCTGTCGTAGCTTCAGGTAGATGAGTGTAGGAGTTGCGAAGGGGTGCCTGGTGAGGCTAGAGACAACATATATTTATTGCCAAGAAACTTAAGGAACACTTGCACTATCAGCAATAACCATGCTCTGAGGTGGTGACTTCAGCACTGGCCTGCTGAAGGAAGACTGGTCCATACATGTGAGAGACTAGCTATTGGAAAGAATGCTGCTGGGCTTCCAATCAGGAAAGACTTAGGTCTGAATCTTGGCAGCTAGGTGATACAGTAGAGAGGGACTGGGAGGCAGAAAGACTTGAGTTTGAATCCTGCCTCTAGCTGTGTGACTGGACAAATCACTTAACCTCTCTCAGTTTACTCATCTGTGAAAAAGGGGATAATAATAGCACCCATATCACAAGGTTAATGTGAGGATCAAATATGCAAAGTGTTTTGCAGACCTTGGCTATACACACACACACACACACACACACACACACACACACACATTAGCTACTATTATCATCATTATTATCCTAGCTATAATACTTTTTATTTTTTTTTAACTAGAGAATTTACTTTTTATTCACATGTGTATGGGACATTTACAAAAACCGATCACAATCTAGGGTATAAAGAACTTGGGACCCTAATCAAGTCACTTTATATCTGAGCCTGTTTCCTCATCTATGAAATTGGAAAGAATGACATTATATGACCTATGCCACGAGGTTGTAGAGCACTTATCAACGTGAGGTGTTGAAACTAGGTAAGGGCTAGTGGTTGTTTTGGAGAAAGTGCTTCTGTTAACCTGAAAGTATTATATAAATGTGGGTTGGATTTCCTACAGCACGATGCTAGTACAATTTGCTTTGGCTAAGGGTTGGAGGTTGGAGGAGAAAAATCTGGCATGTGGAAAATGGGTCCCAGTCCAGTTCAGAGTGGCCTCAAGGTCAGAGCAGGGAAATTTATATGAATCTCTGACAGCTAGACTTGAAGCGACTGGCTGACCTAATGAGGACAAAAAACAGAAAGGATGGAAATTAGAGACCTGAAACTTATTTAACCCTTAGAAATACCTTCAGCATTATTGTGTACTCCATCCTCTCCTCCCTCTCTCCATTCCTTCTAAGTAATAAAGGTGTGCTGACAGACAGTTCTGGCTGGCACACCTAACGCAGATTAACCTGTTTTGCCCAAAAGAAATGCCTTTGCAATTGCAGAATGACTAAACAAATCATGCTATATGAACGTAATGGAATATTACTGTACTGTAAAAAAAAAAAAAGCATTAAGAATACAGAGATGGATGGGAAGACTTAAATGAACTGATTCAAAGTGAAGTAGGTGGAATCAAGCTACAGCAATGTAAGTGGAAAGAACAAGACAGCAATCAGACTGAATGCTGTGAAACTATAATAAACAAGTTTGCCCTCCCCAACAAAAAAAAAAAAAGAGATTTGAGAAGGTACTGGAGATAATCAATAAGGAGAAGGCACTAGCATTAAAGGAGATCAGATAAGACTTCTACAAGAAGAGATTTTAGTTGGGATGTAAAGGAAGCCAGGAAAAGAAGATGAGGACAGAGATTATTGCAGGCATGGGGGATAGCTAGAGAAACTCCCAGAGATCAGGTGAGAGCTGACAGATCAAGGAGAAGAATGCTGGGCAATTCCTATCCCACCCACTTTATCCTTTACCTCCACTTTGTCCTGGATCCACCCTGTTTGTATGTAGTTATTTTCATGCTGTCTCCCCTATTTGACTGTGAAC